TATACTTCTTGTTCTTCATATTCTTCAAAAGATGAGTTGTTTAGAAAAATACGTTTTGGGTGCTGCTGCAGGTGTTGGTATCATCATTGGTTTTGCGTGCTACTTGTATGTCAAATCCAAACGGGTACGTTGTTTATGCAGTTTTATGTTTATGTTTGGTACATACATATACAAGATTGATCTCGTAAGTATCGGTACTTAACTTATGCCAAGTATTTGGACAACTGATTACACCACCTATTGTAGTGTGTCACGTCAATCGATACTTTAGCTAAGTACTGATACTTAGGACATCAATTCCGCATACATATATGCACTTGTATATACATTCTTTTGCATATATATTATTGAACTGCTTATCTAAAAGTAAAATTTATTTTTCACTGAAGACTTTAAGCGGTGGGATTGAATTAGGACTTTTGCCGCCTTCAATCTTTTAGTTGAATGTTGCATTTACTTACATATTTTTCGTACTTGTTTGTTTTTGCTAAAAGTTATATTTTAGTAAAATAATAATAATAATAATAATAATAATAATAATAATAATAATAATAATAATAATTTATTTGAAATGTGAAATTGAAAAATTGAAAAAATTTGTGGATTTCGTGAAATGTATTGTTGAAAATAAATTTGAGGGAGAATGAGTTTTAAAAAATTGAGGTCAAACGAAAGCTAAACGTGTAGTTAAAAATGAATTTAAAAAGAAATATAAATTAAAAAAAAATGAAGGCTAAACGGAACTCTAAAATAATTATAGTTTATAAATATCTTGCCTTTAGTAACTGTTTTAATTTAATTACTTTTTAACTTATAGATGGTATTCATTAGAGTTAAATGTTTCATTAGATGTTGAACTTACATCTTCATTATGCTTTACTTAGCCCGTGTTTGGCTTCGATTTTTTCAAAAACTTATTTACAATCACAAATTATTCAATAAAATAATTTTACACACAAATTCACAATTTTTTTTTTCAATTACACATTCTCCAAAAAATCATTATTCAACACATGCTTTCCCCAAAAGAGGTCCAAATAGGGGCTACCTAAACTTAAAAATACTTCTAAGTGATCATTGAATTTTAACACATTGCAACCCATTGCTTGCTCACTCACTATATTTCGTAAGTCATTAAACTTTAAGATGCTTTCGAGTGGTCACTGAAATTTAATATGTTAAATCCCTTCACTCACTTACCATGTTTCATTAGTCACTAAATTTATACATCCTTCACGCTTTACTCAATGAATTTAAAAATTCTTTCGATCGATTACTAAACTTCTTGATGTTTTCAAGTAAAGTTGATTCTTTATTAGATTTGACCTAGATCAAGAAAATAAAATAAATATTGACTAGATAATGACACTCAATCTAAGACGAGAATTTTGATATTGGTTTAGAAGATATAATTTTCGTAGTCGTTTATTCAAGGGAAAAGGAGAATGCTAACTTCAAGTTGACGTAAATCTTAATTTAGACCATAATCTTTCTTTATATAGAGCCAAAAAAAAAAATTATCTCTTTATTTCGATTTAGATCTTAGATTTAACACAAGAAAATAAAAGTTCACACGTCAAACAAGTAGTGAATTTTTCGATTTAAAGTCAATAATACTAATAAAGATTAACAAAATATAATTTTTAGAGCTGTCCAAGATAATTCAAGAAGAAAGAAGGGTGCCATTTTCGTATATGATATTTTATACTTCAAAAATTTTCAATTTTTCAATTTTTAAACAGTTGAATTCAGTTAGTAGAGTTCAATGACTAATGAAATATGGCGAATAAGTGGGGTGTAACATGTTAAATTTCAGTAATCATTCAGAAGTATTTTAAAGTTTAGAGACTACCGAAATATAGTGAGTGGGTGAGTGATGAAATGTAACCTGTTAAATTTTAATGACCACTCAGAAGTATTTAAAATTCAATTAATAAAATGTGACGAATGTATAAATTAAGTGAATAATAACATTTAACTCATTCGCCAACCATCATAAACACGTGCAACAGCATGACAAAATTTTTGGAACAAAAATCCCATTTAGCACAAATAAGCAGCATCATAAACAAAATCATAATTGCATCTGCCTGCATATTAAAAATTGCGGAAAAATATATTAAAAAGCAAAAAGTTGAAGACTTTGATTGAAAATTTTCTGACCTAAAAACATAAATTAGTTGTCAAGATCAATTATAATTGATTATCTTATTTTTGAAATCTTTCCATCTGAACTCGCTGAAGAATTTGTGAAATTTTAAGAGAAAATAATCTAAAGATTTGCCATCTTCAATTATATCCCCTGTTTAGTTTTACCAAAAATATCATATTTTTATTAGATTTTAATAAAAGTTGATTACGTATGTTATTATAAAATTATAAAAGTTGTGAATTTCATGAAAATATATGTTTTGAGTTAATTATTGACTTTAACTTAAAATTTTATTGAAAGTTTTGACTGAACCAAATAAAAATTTTCAAGTTTTTGAAATTTTGAAAAATAATTTCCATGAGTTTGCAAGTTGATGTACGTTGAGGGTAGTTATGTCTTTTCCCACTCTAATAATTATAAAAGAATTTTATCTCTCGATGGTACTTTTGAGCATACAATCTTGAAAATTTATGTGTTTTCATCGTAAGTTTTAATCCGGTAAAATTGCTTGCTCTATTATTATTATTTTTTTAACTCTTAACATACGTAGATTATATCATAAAAAATCAATTTTGTTAAAAAGAGTACCTCAATACTTTATACGATAGTGATTTATTTTGAAAAATTTTAGACGTTGAAATATGCTAATGCTTGTCTATATGTTTGAATAATAATATTTAGTACCATTGGTATTTCAACACCAATTTAGATGATATTAAACGATAAATTCAATCGAAGGTAAAATTAAGGAATTATCAATTGTACTTAATGTTGCATTAGTCACTTGATTGTTTGGAATCTATTTTAATGTGCTTTTGTGGAAAAATATGGTCATGTCTGAGCTAAAAAAAAAAAAAATACATTTTTCAACAGTAATTTGACGTCATTTTAACTACACATTCTTCAATAAAATAATATTACACGTAAATCTAAATTTTTCTTTTTTTTTTAACTACACATTCTATATCAATTTACTATTTCAAAATAATGTGTTTTAAACATGGGCTTTTTTGTTAAAAAAAAATGTGTAGTTAAAAAAAATATTTTGAATTTATGTGTATTATTATTTTATTGAATATTCTGAAGCAAAAAAGAGAAGGAAAAAAATAAATTTTAGATGAATGGAGCCCAAACAGGTAATCAGTGAAGTTAACAAATAAAGGCTCCAGAATGCTCCATCAGAATGAGATAAGTTTAAGGTTTTTTCGCAGTGATATTAGCCGGCGTTTGTGTACCCAAACAGATTTGACGGTCAAGATTGCCTCATCAAATCCGCTTATAAACAGAAAGAAAATCTTCGATTTCCTCACTCTGTCGATTATAAAGCCGTATTCACTACTCGAATAGTTTTTGCAAGTTCATTAAACTTTAAAAATGGTTCATGGTTTTAATTATACCTTCTTTTTATTCGTTAATCCTTGTACCGAAAAGGTTTTCAGGTCCAAGCAACAAAAAATTGCAATCAAATCTGTAGTTTCATGTTTACGAAGATCTTCTTACAGCTTTAACAAAGGTAAGGTAATATAAATAAAGATACAGACGTTTGTAAAGTAGATTTGAGACAAATTGCATCAGCCCAAAATCAAAAAGTAGCATTAAAGTGAAATATAAAAAATTTCCCCATCTTGTGTAATTGCAATTAAACCAAAATCAGCAGTGAGTTTAACTGTAAATTCATCTAAAAAAAAAAAAAA